GGGAGAGGGACTCATTAACTGGGGGGGGGGGGAAGCAAGTGCTGCAGCTCATGTGCTCCCTGACGTCACACGACGTGCTAATTCATTCCTGTTATACCATCGCCGGCGAGGATAAATTCACAGGGACGCCCCCCCGCTGTGGGATCAGCCAGCACGGCCACCCGGGCGGGTGTCAGGCCCGCCAGTGTCCCCACTGCCCCCACAGATGGGGACCTGCCACCTCCACCCCGCCTCCCCCTCGCCCCGACGGTCCCAGTCCCGGGTGGTTCCACCAGCGGGGCCTGGAGGGGTGGGGGAAGGAGTGTGGCCCTGTCCCCAGGATGTCACGCCCTTGAGTGTCCCCCCTGCCACGGTAAAGTGACACCAGGGACACTGGGAGACACGGCAGGACTCCTGGGGAGGTGGCTGTCACAAGTGTCCCCGCGCAGGGAGGACTCGCCGGGAGGGAGAGGAGGGCTGGGAGGAGCCGTGTCCTGACCGTCACCTTGAACAGCCTCCAACAGCCCCGCTGGCCGGGGACAGGGATGCTCCAGGACATCCCAGACACCTCTAGGACGTGGTGCCACTTGGGATGGGACGGTCCCTGAGCCAGGTGGCCTGAACTCACCCCTCCACAGCGAGGGAGCAGCGGGATTTGGGGTCCAACCCCCCCCCCCAGCAGCTCCTCAGCAGCAAAGCCGACCGGGCATCCTCACCCACAGGGCCCTTCCTGGGGGGCAGAAGCGCCCCAGGGACTTCCATGGGGCCAAATTCCCCCCTCCAAGCCCCGTGCCTCGGTGTCCCCTCTTCAGGCGGCTGATCCAGGAGGTACTTGGGACACCCGAGTGTCCCCGAGCGCGGGGGGCCGGCGGGGGCCGAGGGGCAGCATCGTGTGCCCGCCGTGCCCGGTCCCTCCCGGCCACCGCTCTGGTTTCCGGCACTCGCCAAACTCTGTCGCCCACAGAGGGGATGGGAGGAAGTGGCTCCGCTGCAGGATGCACCCCGGGGCTGGGGACACGCTTGTCACCTCACAGGCCACATCCCTCCCAGAGCCGCTGCGTCCCTCCCCTGCCCATCGCCGGCAGGATTCCCAGGCTCCTGAGGATCCTTGAGACAAGCCCCGTGCCTCAGTTTCTCCTCCCGCAGCACCCAATATCCTCATCCCTGGGGTCTCCAATGCCGGCACGGGATGGGAGTTGGGGTGATTGTCCGGAACATCCCCTGCTCCATGTCACCATCCTGCATCCCGCTGCTCCTGGGCATCATCCTGCTGACCCCGGGACCAAATTCCCAGCAGAGACACTGGGCAGGAGCCCAGGATGCAAGGTTGATGTCCCCAGGCGGTCCCCAAGCTCTGGTGTCCCCACACCTCCCTCCAGCCCAGCCCCCAGGCAGGCACCGGCGCTGCCGGGGAAGGATGAGGCAGGAATTTGGCTTCTGGGGACCGAGGGGAAACTTTGGGGGTAATTTTCTTAGTAAATGGCATTGTTCCTGTTTTCATTCTTAAAATGAACACGAGGGCACCGGGCACCCACGGGGGCTAAATTTGGGCCCAGGGAAAACCGAAAATACTCCCCCCACCCCGGAGGAATTTGCATCTCGCTGCTGCTCGAAGGCAGCGCGGGGCTGAGCGGTTCAGGGAGCCGTGAATGCAAACCGCAGGGCTCCCGGGCCGGGCCGGCCACCTGCCACCCACCCGGGGGACCCCCGGCCGGGGGACGCATCCGCCACCCACCTGCAGCCACCCCCGGCCGGGAAGGAGCCACATCCCTGGTGCCCCCGGTGCTGTGCCCCGGAGGGGAGCCATGCCGGCCAGCCCCCCCAGTAGCCCACCCAGGCTCCCACCCTGCAGAAGCCCCCTCCTGTCCCACCATCAGGGCACCCCAAGCATCTTGTCCCCCCAAAAAAACGTAGCCAAGTCCCCCCCCTGTCACCAGCGGTGTCCTCTGAGTCAGAGCGGGTGGGGAAAATCGACTCGCGGGCGGTGGTGAGTGGGGAGCAGGCAGAGCTTTGGGGTTTGGGGGGCTCAGCCCCCGCCGTGGAGGGTTCCAACCCCCGTCCCCCCGCACGCCGCAGCTCCTCACCCCGCGCCCCGGCACTGTCACCCTCCTCCTTCCTGCCCCAAACCGCCCGGCGCTGGCAGGCGGCTGCCACGCTCCACCCCGGGTAGCCCCGCTTTGGGGGGGCCCGCAGGGAAGGAGGAGAGCGGGGGGGTCATGGAGACCCCTTTCCCTGAGCCCCCTCCCCGGCCGGTGGGACAAATCCCGGGCAGCGCCGGGAGGATGCTC